TTAAAAAAAATCTTACAGTGTTACCATAACGAAATTGAGTCTAACGCTTATTACTTTCCTACTCCTTAAAGCTTTACTTCCCCAACAGATAGACTGCGATCATAATGAACAAGAAACATAACAAATTATTATTACTGATCAGATGTTACTATAATATTGTTAGTAATATTTTTGTGTCTTTTCCTAAAAAAGGTCTGTCTAAACTGGTCATGCATGAAGATATACAACAGTTTAAGGGCCAGTTTCCTCCTATCTTTTTTCATATCTGGAAGAATTCTCAAAAATGCCTATGCTTAGAAAGGAGATAATCCTTTTGCGAAACTTTAAGTCGTTTTAGATCTGAAAAATCTTTTGAAGCATCATTAAAACTTCCCTGTAGATGAACAGCCTCTTAGCATTTGCCATGATCAGATGGACAATGCTCAGGAATTTGCTGTTTGTTTCGACAAATTGCTTCGATCAGATATCAGTCAATCTCTAGCACGTGTTGCCTATGTCACATCGTTTATCGCAACACATGCGCGTTCCAGGATATCCAGTTACCGCAAGAATTTTTGAAATAAAATTCAAAAAATTGAAGATTTTGAAAAAAAAACATTGGTCGAAGGAGGTGTTTAAGCGTGAGGTATTTGTCAGGCGCGCGTGCGTGTGATTTGGTCACTTTGAGATTGTTGAGTGCTCGTTGACGGAATCTTCAGAGTTTCCCTCTTCGGCGTCATTGATCAAAACGCTTCAAATAATGCAAGCATAGCGCTCTCTCCATCAAAAGTGCACAAACCGACGTGAACGACTCTATTATCGCTAGTTCTAAGGAAGATTCGATTTAGAAATAATCTTAGTGTGAACGAGTTCAGGAATCCCCGCGTTGTGGTCGCTCTCGCCTCAGCCCTTCTTGCCACCCTCATTATCGCCGTTTGCTCGTTGGTGCTTGTCATAGTGCTTAATAGCGGCTCAACATCGAAAGGTACGTTAGCGCTCCCTTTTTCTTAATGTTTACACTAAATAACATGTTGTTGGGAAGAGGTAATTATGGAATTATCAGCAATGAAGAGGACTAAACTATTACGATCCAATTCAGGAAGTTAGGTAAAACGGACTAAGTTATGTATCGGAAAATCAACACAGATGGCAAATCCATACTGAAATTATATTTCGGAGCTTAGCCAATAAGATCGCTTTGATTCGACAGAACTTTTGCATAATCTTCAGTTTGTTTGCAGACTTTTTTTAGCTGTTCGCATAGTTCAGGGTGGAAAAACAATTTTAACATTTTTTTATAGTTGTCATTGCTAATTTGTGATCGTATTTCATACTCTCCTCATTTACTCTTCCCGCTCCGAGTTCATCCTGATGAGGGCAATATCTCGCCAAAAAATAATTTTGTATTCTGAAGCCAAATTCTTATTGTCCAGATACTTCATTATACATTTTCTGTTTCGTAACCCAGACCAATAATTTTGTTCTTGTCTAAGATTTAACGAATATCAAAAAGTAATTCCTCGCGTATCTGTTTCAACCATCAAGTTTAACTAGTTAAGTATGTCTTCTGACATTTATTCTACAGAGAACTTTTTAGTTTATCTACACCCATGCAATGAATCCTCATTTTCAGACTACAGAGTAATCTTTCTGGAACACATCACCTATTTAAAACAAATTTAATTTTAAAGATCTGGAAGATGATATTTCTTCCACTTACAGGTGACAGTATACTAACTCGAATGTAAAAATTATCTGTGTTCGCTGTTGATAAAGTTCTAAAGCCTTTATTTTTATAAGAAAAAGTCAATCAATAACCATCATAATTTTTTGAGTTAATTATGTGTTTACTTCTGCTTTCTTTCTTTAGAGCCCCCAAATATTTTTGTTCGACGCGCTTTAAGTTAAAATTTTTATGGCAGGCAAGCCATGAACACTTAACTGATTAAGTATAAACGTCATTTTTCAGAAGATGTCACATCAAGTTCGATGACAAACAGCTGTCCAGTTTCTTCAGCACTTTCACAAAATGAAACACTTTGTCTCACGGAGAAATGCGTTCAGCTAGGTTGAGTATGCCTTCAAGACCAGATGTAAAGAAAGAAGAATATAACAAAACATTTTTCGTTTAGCCGCGAATTATCTGAATAACATGAATCGTCAAGCGGATCCCTGCTCCAACTTCTACACATTTGCATGTGGGAGATACGCCGAAAGCAAAGTTGTACCAGAACATGCCAAGAAGGTTACTGTCCTATCCGACATGAAAAAGGATCTCGATCTTCACCTAAGGGGTTAACATTTTTTATATAACCAAACTTCTTACATAATATTTTGGATATTCTCAGGAATACTAGAGAATTCTTCTCGTAAGAATGCGTCGAAACCAATGGCTTTAGCACAAATATACTATGATTCTTGCATGGACGAGGACGCTCAAAACGAAATGGTACCCGACTTCTTCACTTGAGCGTTGAAGAAAAAAGAGTTGCTTTTTAGGGTACTCTGCCATTATTGTCACTTATTTCACAACTTGGTGGATGGGAGATGTTGACAAACGCAAGGTTTGATTCAGCCGATTACCACTGGGAAATATCAGCAGGTAGTGAGATTTGTATTTATTAGTTTTCACCTTTACACGTCCCAGCGAACGAAATTTGTTGAAGCCTGTTTAACGTTTTCTCTTTATTTGATTTAATTTGTTGTCATCCGCTCCATCATGACCCCTTAGCAGCCCTCAAAAAAGAACTTTGTAACCAATGTGACTATTTATCAAGACTGTGCCAACAAATGCACCTTTGAGATTCACTGCCTACCTTTTATCTCCAAAAGCCATTATTATGAAAGCGAAAGACACTAGGAAGTCAGTAAGTTCAAAATGATCTCCTGCGCTGTTTAATGGCAGTTGAAGCTTTCGAGGAGTAGTCGAGAGATTGTGCAACCGATTTTAGAATCGAAAAAAATCCATTTCGGCTGTTTCGCAATAGCTTAGACCTAACATAAGCTTTTTAAGGCATCTAAAAGTATCTCTTCTCATTACCATTTTCATAGTAAAGCATTCTCTTCTCGAATGCGACCATAGCAAAGATTGAAAAAAACTCTCATGAATGTTTCATATCAAGTGAAGAGAGAACAAAGTAGAATCAGTGTAGCTCTTGTATGCCTTCTGCTTTAATCTTGTTTGCTGAAGTGTGCTAGTATAGTTCATGTACTGCTGTTGTGAATTAAGTCAGAATTAAGAATAACTATCCTATCGTAAACTGATTTCTGACAATAGCTTTACAATCCCACTAAATATATATCCATTTCAGGTCAACTTGCCGTGGTTGGTGTGGATGGTCTGATAAAGGTCTTTGTTCACAACAGTTTTGAAGATAGCGATAAACAAATTCTTATGGTTGGTGATTACTAACAAATGATCCCAGGCCATAAGTGCAATTAACGTTGTTTTTTTTCAGTTTTGCTCACCAAAGCTTTTTTTGGAGAAGAAAAAGTACTACCGTGGAGCGCCCTCGTCCAATAGTTTCTTGAGCCATTACCGCGAATACATCGTGGATTTGCTCCAACTGCTCGGTTAGTCCATTGCAAACTTCAGTCTATATCGGGAAAAAACTTCCACATATAGTGACGCCTTTTGTCTTTTCAAAGGTAAATTATCACTATGGAGATTTATCAAAGTTCTGCTTATATTGGTCTTTCTT